CTTTCCCTTGATTAAATTGTGCCGAATGTTGATGCATTATGTATAGGGCTGGTTCCCTAATTGGCTGCATATGTAATGTAATTTGGAGCAGGCTTCCATTAACAACCCAGGTTTTGTCCCCCTAATAACCTAATAAACTGGACCCATGAATCTGGGACCACGGGGCCACACCAAGGAAGTCACTTGGTTCTGGGAACTTTTGAGGAAATAAAGTTAAAATGTAGACTGATAAGGAAATCAGCAAAGAAAGAAAGGAAGGGAGAGAGACAGAGAGAGAGACAGACAGACAGAGAGAGGGAGAGAGAGAGGGAGAGAGAGAGAGAAAGAGAGGGAGACAGAGAGAGAGAGAGAGAGAGCCAGAAGACAACCCAGGTTTTGTCCCCCTAATAACCTAATAAACTGGACCCATGAATCCTGGTACCGAGGCCACACCAAGGAAATAATGCGTTTCTGGAAACTTTCAAGCATTTAGGCGTAACGTAATATGTAAGACCGGACTGTAAGGCTTGAACCACTCACACCGGGAAGGTCCCCTACTCTTTTCGATAAGTGCGGCGGGTTCTCTTATGTGCGAGAGGTGTGGCTCTCCCCAAACACGGGACCTCTATTTAACGTCCTATCCGAGGGACGTCCCTAACCGAAGCTAGGTACTCCATCTGAGTGAAGTGAGGGCACATGATCGGTGACATGGGCAGGATTCGAACCCAGGACCCCTTGGTCCTGAGCTGAACAAGTGACCATAATAGCCAAGTGGTCCTTATGTAGTTAGTGGGTCACTATCTGTAGGGAGTTTATAACTCCAGGCTATAGACATTCTATCATTAGACTCTCTTGTACATTAAGACCCCTACTATTAAAGTAAATGTGGGTCAGGGAGAAAAATGACTAGTCACTGTAGCATAGTGATTAACCCTGTCCCAGTACAGTATAGACTGATTAAACCAGTACTGTATACTGTAATTCACTTTAAGTTCACGGTATCAAAAGTTCACGGTCTGAGAAAAATGGACACGTTCACAGAATTAAAATATTCACGGTGGCGACAGGTGCAGGAAAAAGGAAGTCCTGGAATTATTTGTTAACTGTAATGATAAGTTCATAGTATAGAAGTGACAGTGAAAACAGTGAACATATCAGTACTGCGAAAAAAATCAGGAATTACAGTATCCCTTCTCTTGTACCCGTACCCCAGGGTACCGGCATTAACAACAGTTACTGTAGTAATGTAATCAAGCTAATAAAGTCCCAGCTCTGTATGGTCAACCTGTGACATCATGGTGTTAAAATATGGTAACCAACACAAAGGAACACATCAAAATGGTCAGGCAAATTCTGGGTTTAAATCCTGAAGGGACCAATGTTGTACCTTTGGGAAAGGTACAAATGTTTGTATGACTCTTCATATAGTATCAAAATCTATCCACTTGCTTGAGGAACTGATTTGTGGTAATTGTACAATTTACAGTGAGACAGTGAAAGAACCAACCATTTTTATTGAGAGGAATCTACAAGAAAAACAGCACTTTAACAGTAATGTTACCAAGATTGCTGAATGTTTTTCAAACAGTAACAGCAATTCTAGTTCGATTCAGCAAATAATAAATGTATGTGCATAAATATTATGGGTACTTCTAATCCTGAATAACACGTATGTGTCTGTAACCTCTGACCTATAACCCCTGTTTATGAGGCAACTTGATCTTGGAGCAACTGCTGAAACCTGATACACCATACAGGGTCAAATATAGTAACCTGATACCCCATACTGGGGTAAATATAGAATATATAGTCTTTGATTTATAGAGTGGTGATGATCAATTCCTTTTGGGGTAGTATGATAACATTTTACTTTGATCATGAATCACTATCATGAACTGTAACAAAAACTCCAGCTACTGCTACACTTTTGTTACTTTGCTGCAGATTTGCTACAAAGAAACCTGCATCGTTTTGCTACAGTTCAGTCACTACAGATTTTCTTGTACCAGTCCATTTGTAACCACCCATTACAGTTCTAGCCATTCTTGCCACAAGTGAGTTTCTTACAAAGAAACCTAATATCCTTTTGTAAGAAACCTGATATCATTTTGTAACAGTTCCATTGCCCATAGAGATGTTGCTACATTGTCAAAGAAACCTGCACTTTTTCTTCAACAATATTTCCTTGCTGCCTCCCCTGCCACCAGAGAGTTTGCTACATTTGTACCATTTCTGCCACAGGCAGTCTGTCACATGTTCCCACTGTGGCAATATCTGTCTGGCAGGGAAATGGCAACACCAGCGAAGTCAGTCCAATTAAGTCTGTCCCAGTCTTCACTTTACTGTGGAAAACATAAGAAAACAGGCGAAGACCACCAAACCCCCAGCTCTATATTAAAGCCTGCTATGGAGGCTAATCAGAAAACAGCGTACTGTAATTCACTTCATGTTCACAGTAGCAAAAGTTCACAGTCTGAGAAAAATGGACATGTTCACGGAACCATATATTCACGGTGGCAACAGGTGCAAGAAAAAGGAAGTCCAGGAATTATTTGTTAACTGTAATGATAAGTTTGTGAAGTACAGAAGTGACAGTGAAAACAGTGAACATAACAGTATAGTAGCCTCCATAGCATGCCAAAAACAGGGGGGTTTTGAGGGTCTTCTGGAGCTTTTATGTGCTATTTTCTGATATAGACAACATAGTCGGCCTGGTTGAATTACCCCTGTTACTGTTAGACCTGGGCTAATCAGAAAACAGCCGAAGACCACCAAACCCACAGTTCTATAAGCCTGCTACGGAGGCTAATCAGAAAACAGCCGAAGACCACCAAACCCACAGTTCTATAAGCCTACTACGGAGGCTATGGACAGTACAGTGAAAAAATCAGGAGTTACAGTACTCCGCCTGATTAGATTAAGTCTGTCCCAGTCTTCACTTTACTGTGGGAACCTTTCATTCATCTGGGTAATCAAGTCAGCTGCCAGCCAGGGGTCACAGGGGGCAAAGGTCAGCAGGGGTCATGCAGAATCAGGTGGGGAGGGGCCACAGATAGTTATTTCTTTGGTTATCGGAATTTTATGGTAAAGAATTCTGCAACTGATAAAAATGACATCTCCCAATAGAGTGTCTATAACAGTATAGCTGGGAGAACTGCCCTTCGGCACAACACACCAGCTTTGCAGGCACACAGTGCTGCAGCAAAAGTAGTCTATTATAATATTATTGTTGTATCTTTGCATCTCATTTATTCTTTATTTAGCCAGGAAACCACACCTAGGCAGTGTTCCATGGACCCTGGGGCTATGTTCTTTTGTGTATTGTTCCCTTTCTCAGGGCTACCTTTGTAACAGGTATTGGGTTATTTTTTTCTCACAAATATGCAGTATCAAGTAGAGAGTGACTGCATTTTTGTCTAGATAGTAATTTTAGCCTTTCTGTCCTTTTGTGCAGTTATATATAGATATAGATCTATCTACAACATCTCTCTATCTCAAATCTTTATTAGCATATCTAATCCAAACAAATATCTATCAATACATGGTATCTCTAAAGCTAAGAGGGACAAAGCTTTACTATTTCTTTGTTTTCTTCTTTAAAATGTTTTATCTACAATTTTGAACTGCATTTCTGTACTTTGCATATAATAGGTGTGGCAGCAACTAATTATACTAGTCTGGTATGCCTAGTCTCTCCCACAACAAAATTAGCATACTCTGGTATGTTATGTCTGTACCTCAATGCCATTTACTCTCCAAGCAGAGGTTTGGGTTTTGCCTTATTTTGGCGTGTTTTTAGGCTCTTAAATCGGGATTTCTTTTTTTTTTCACTGGTACTACTAGTGGTAGCTTTTTTGTGGGTTGGTGTAAACAAAGATACCAGTGCAAAAAAGAAAGCCCAATAAAAAAAGCCTAAAAAAACACGCCCAAAATAAGCCAAAACCCAAACCTCTGCTTGGAGAGTAAAAGACATTAGCATACCCTGGTATGCACACGCTTGAGTGCACACGTAGTTCTACAGGTCACAACATACAGACAGGGGAACAGAAACTACGCTGTAGGCGCCATGATTGCTCCTGTTTCTGGGACTAACTAAAGAAAGCAACAATTCTAGAAGTCTGCTAGCTTCCAGTGTACCTGGCCAAGTTTATCCAGGTGGCTGTTTTCTGAGGGAGATCAGAAATTTTGCTCTCCAGGAATGCACAGCAAAAGAACAACCTTCCAGAGTCCGTACTCACGTCACCCAGTGTGAACACGTTCAAGGGAAGTCTCGACAAGCATATGAAACAGAAGAAACTGATGTATGACTACAGGGCTCTACACCATCCACAGAAGCCAGAGATGTCTGTGCAGTAAAAGGAAAGAGCGGCGTAAACTGGAACTGAAGCTCCTACCTGGCCAAAGGCATCTACAACATGTACTCTACTCTAAAAGGGGAACAGGAACTAGGTCGGTGGTAGCGGACAACATAACAGTGTTTGCTCTTGTTTCTGGGATAAACATACGACTGCTACAGATACTCCTACTTCCCTCAGACTGTTAGAGACTGGAACTCACTTCCTCAGGCCATACCCGAAATACCAGAGGCTGTCAAGTTTAAGGAAGCAGTACTACTACACTTGAGGAGTCTTTAAGAGCGCTGCACCCTCCCCCCCCCCTGCGTGTTTGACCACAACTGAGAGGTGTTACGCAGCACTACATCAAGATCAAGAGAAGAAGAAAGCAGTAGTTTCAGAAGATTGCAAGCTTCCTGTGCACCCGAGTTTTAGCCTTTCTTCTTGAAATCTTCTTGTTATGGAGTCCAGAGATTTTTGCTAAGATAATGAATTCCAGGTGTGCTCAAGGTTGCGAACAGCAAAGACTTAGTGAACAACATGCCCACCTCTCTGTCAAGTCAAGGAAAAATTTGAAAGAAGTTAAAGAAGTCTGCAAGCTTCTTGTACAAGAGTAAGACTTTCTTCAGGTGGCTGTCTTGCTAGGAATAAGACAAGAGAATTTTCTGAGACACTCAAAACAACAACATGTCATCATCAGATTCGGATTCGTCTCCATCTAGTCTTGGAGAGCAGGTAAAAGAAGAACTGTCCTGCAGCATCTGCCTGGAGCTGTTCACCAGGCCCAAGGTGCTGCCCTGTCAGCACACCTTCTGTCAGGACTGTCTCATCGACCATGTGGGAGTGAGAAGACATTTCCTCTGCCCAATCTGTCGTATACAGGTCGACCTCTCACCCTTAGGTGTCTCAGGGCTACCAGACAACCACCTTGTCTCTAGTTTATGTGAACGTCTTGGAAGCCAGGTGGGCATTTCTGCAGGTAAACGGAGGCCGTCCAAGTCCGCTAACAGGTGCGCCAGCCACCCTTTGGAGGATCTAAAGGTGTTCTGTAAGAAATGTGAGCTACCGATTTGTGAGCTGTGTTTAGAGACAGTTCACGACGGCCATCCTACAACCACACTTAAAAAAGCTTCCCTCGGACGGACATTTTCTTTCGACTCTACCATCGCTGAGGGGAGAAACCTTCTTGAGACATACTGCAACTTTCTCAGAGATCTCCGAGACACCGAGAAGAAGCTAAACGAACAGAAACTTCAGACGGACGGCAGAATTTCCTACGTTTACGACCAAATGGTCGAAAAACTGACCGAAACGAGACACAGCCTTCTGTCTGAGGTAGAACAGAGACATCGCGCTAACCTGGAAACTATACAGGAACAGAGAGACGCAATCCTAGCTAAGGTGAACGAACTGTCTGCTGCCTGTGATGATGCGGAGAAGGGCGTGAGGCAGGAAGGAGTGAAGGTGTTCCACTTCCAAACCCACCTGAGCCAGGTGATGAACCCGCGAATCTCAGCACCCGACTCCGCGCAGGTGTACAGCGTGGCCGTGTTCTTACCTGCGGACTCACCTGTGCCGAAGCTAGGCCAGGTGGGCGTACAGCCCTTCCCGTCCGTGTCCGCTGCGTGCGGGAGGGGGGCACAAATCCCAACCGTAGAAAGACAAGTGGAAGTCTTTCCTATAGTAGACCTAACTGTACCTACAGCTGAACAGCTGGTCATCCCTCGCTCCCTGTCTCCGTCGCTTAGCAACACAGAGGTCAAAGGTCTATACACAGAGGTCACAGGTCAGAATACGGAGGTCAAAGGTCTGAACACGGGGGTCAGAGATCTGACCATAGAGGTCAAAGGTCTGAACACTGAGGTCATGAGTCAGAATGCAGATGTCAAGGGTCAGATTGCAGAGGTCAAGGGTCAGAACACAGAGGTCAAATTTCGTCGGCAGCGGCGGCGTTCGTTCGAGCTGCGGAAGCTGACGTTTGGCGGGAAGGGTTCGGAAGCTGGACAGTTTGACGTGCCGTGTGGGGTTGCGGTGTCGGAGGAGGGGGAGGTTTTCGTGGCGGACTGCGGTAACCGGCGCGTGCAGGTGTTCACGCTGGGCGGCACGTTCCTGCGCCAGTTCCCCACTGCCGCTGCGCCGGACGGACGCACCATCCAGCCTGACGACGTCGCCGTGGATACCGACGACCATATATGGGTGGTGGGGATCGACGTCGCCGCGCGGTACACCAAACTCGGAACCCTCCTCCGCACCGTCGAGCTACGCAACACGGGCTGGGACCGAGGCGTCGCCATGGATACGCGAACAAACAACATCCTGGTCTCCCAAACAACCATCGACAAGCGCGACATCGTCGGCGAAGTCCAGATTTTCGGCAGAGACGGAGAAATCGTAAAAACCGTCGGCGCTCAACAAGGCATGAAAAACCCTGCCTACATCACTGTAGACGGCAAAGGGAATATACTCGTATCAGACAATGTGAGCCACTATGTGTATGTGCTAAACCACGTGGGGTATCTCCTGTTGAAGTTTGGTGGGGAGGGGGGCGGAGAGGGACAGCTCAAGTGCCCCAGTGGAATCTGTACGGACGGTTCAGGGAACGTTATCGTGGCGGATACGAGAAACAGCCGCGTGGAGATGTTCGACAAGACGGGCGCGTGGGTTAGGCATGTTGCCATGGGGATGAGGGGGCCGCTGGCTGTTGCCATGGCACCACAGGGACAGCTGGTGGTCACTGACTCAAGTGACAACACGGTGACAATATTCCATAGCTACTAACAAACAAACAAATAAACAGTTGCCATGGCACCACAGGGACAGCTGATGGTCACAGACTCAAGCGACAACACTGTGACAATATTCCACACCTACTGAATAAACTAACAAACAAGCAAAGGAACAAACTGATCTACAAACTGTAATGCTTGCTACTATTCTTTAGAAATAATAATTTTACATTTGTAATCTAGAAAAGCTATAATTAAATGCTGTATTTCAGTGTGTTTGTGTGCAGTGTGTTTTTGAGACAATAGAAAAATAATCAACATCAGAATGTCAACCCTTCTTTTGTTTATCAGGCAGTCGTCAGGTGGCTTTTGGATCAAAAAAAGTCCCCCAATTTTCCTGTCAACTCTTCAATGCATTCTAGTGCGGCTGGGATTGAATATAAGTAAAATAAAGTTGACTTCAAGTTGAAGTCATACAATACTTGAAAATAAAACAGGTTGGGACAGTTCATCCTTACTTCGGGACAATTAAAATTTATTTTGGGGACAATAGGAAGAAAATATAATTTTGAGGCTGGAAGGAAGCAAATGGTCGTCTCTTTTCCTGTCTTTCCAAGGTCAGTTCCTTGAATGGTCCAAAGGTCATTCCCTGTCTTAAGTTTCCTGCTAGCTTCAGGTCATATTTAGACTCAATGACAGGTCAAACCATGGAAAAGGTCACATTTTTTGGCCATATTCTAAAAAACATACATTCTTCTGTCCTTCTTAGCAGAAAACCGGGCCTTTCTCAGCAAAATTTGCCCAGGAAAAAAATTATCTAAAAAATAAGTCCGAAAATATATCGTTGGTGTACACACTGCTAGTTCTGCGTATGTCGATTTGCTGGTCCCTCCCCATATTATGTAGGGCGGCATTGCCTGAGGCTGTTTTTAAGATTACTCTCTATAAGTCGCCTTTGTTAAATCTCAACTACACTGCGCAAAACTAGCACTTCAGGTTTTACAGGGATGGTGGCAGGGGTTTCTGGAGTTCTGTTTTCGTCAAAATATGGGGCAAAAAGTTATGGTTTAGGCAACCCTGTCTTTAAAATACATTGTTCAAGAAATAGACCCACGAAAAGAGCATGTACAGGTTGTTTATGATGTGTCTGGGACTGAAAAATTGTAAGGCCAGCAAGTTTTCTTCCAAACCCCTTTAGCAGCCTCACCTGCGTCATTTTAATTTGACCCTTCCGGACAAAAGATTTAATGTTTTGAGTTGAGGAGGAAGAAAAATGGCGGGGGTGAGCCCATCCCTCCCTACTGCACTCCAACAGGAACTTCTGTGTGTGATCTGTGAGAAGCTCTACTCTACACCGAAAGTTCTACCATGTCTTCACACATTCTGTCAAGACTGTTTGGAGGAACGCGCCAAAGAAGACACTACCTTCAACTGTCCGGTTTGCGACACAAGAACTGAGCTGACCCTGGAGGGTGTGGAACAACTACCGGAAAACACGGCCATTTTGGATCTTTGCGACCGAATCCACAACCAAGAAGTCATGCCACAACTTGTACTGGACTCAGACGAGGAAGAAGAATCAGAGGAAGAGGAGAGAAAGTTGTACATGTTCTGTCAAACTCACAGTAAAGAGAAGCAACAGCTCTACTGTATGCAGTGTAAGGTTCCTTCCTGTACCGAGTGTTTGGACGAAATCCACGCAGGACATCGCATGATGTCGTTGAAAAGAGCCCTCGACGATCGCAAAGTTTCGGTCGCGACATTCTTAAACCGAGGGAAGGACCTGATGGAGAACTACTGCAGCTACATACAGGGTTTGCGAGAAACAGAGAAGAACCTACACGAACAGAAACAGCAAGCCGACAACAGCATCACGCAAGCATACCAACAGATGATCCGCAAACTCACTGACACCAAAGAATCGATGCTGAAAGACGTCCACGAGAAGCATTTGCAGAACATCCGCGCGATCCACCAAACCAGAGACCCGCTGTTAACAGAGGTGTACGAACTCGCTTCGGCCTGCGAAGGTGCTCAACAAGACCAGGACCAGACCAGACCGGACTTTACCATTCGAGAGAAACAATTAGTGCAGGTTGTTAGGGAGATCTCGGAAAAAGTAGCCCGCGCACCCACCCCACTACCAACTCCCCCACTCACACCGCTAACTCCACGAATGGAAGAGTGGGACATGTGACGTTTAGTGTCATTCAGAAACTGGAAAGGGTCAACAGAACCAAGCCGCAAGATTCTGCACAAACAACTATGAAATAGATGATAGTGTCACGGAAATGAAAAGAAACCTACAGTGGGGATTGCTGGAAGACAGACGAAAAATGTCCAGACTGTGCATGATGTACAAAACTAACAAACTGGTGGACGTACCAACCACTAAGTATCTAATATTAATTTGTCATCATCAATCCGTTATTCATCAAAACGACAGGTCAATTTGCTGATGGAAGGAGTATGGTCTTTATTTATATATATATCAATTTTATGTATTGATTTCATTCTTACATGTATGCGTATATATGCACTTTGGCATCAAAATTATTTTGTTTGTCAAATCCTTGTCACTGCCTAAAGTCTGACTATCCACACATACATAAATTTCTTCAATATTAAAATGTATGTAAAGTAAAGTATTTTGTTTCTTGAGTGCGTGATATGTATATCTATATTGTACTAAGTACATATCCTTATTTTTTAAAGCATATGTATATCTATATTAATTGTATTAAGTATGTATTCTTATTTTTTCAAAGCAATTTTCACAGTTATGTTAATATAAGTCTTCCTGTAAAGGGTGGATCCTTATACGTTTCTTCTATATTTGTATTTTACACATTTTTGAGATATGTTAGGATATCTTGTAACATGTAACGTTTATTTTACTTCATCTAAAAATACCCTGTACAAGACATGTTTCGAACCTTCTGCGTTTTTCATGTAGCTGTGTAGAAACTTGCTGTAAGGCATTTAGGTCCTTATACATTTTTGTGTAAATTTGTATATTACACCTTTTTGTATATTTTAGCATATCTAAACTTGTACCCCATGCAAAACTAACTTGTACAAATAAATCAGATCCCTCAAATACATGAGTTGTTGTAACTTTTGTGACATACATATAAGTTGCAGAAAATGGTTTTTCTTAGAAATGCCACTGAAATGATCGATCAAACAGAATGAAATTAAGCTGACATCTATAACTGAATTACATGAAAATTAGTGCTGGAAATGTTGTGTCATTTGGCCCAATAGGGTCAAACCTCTTTAATCTGTAGTATAGATGAACTCATAATTTCCCTAATAAGTTGCATCACTATTTTTATTGTATGGATGTGTGACACTTAGAGTAGGAATGTAAAATTTGGTCCAAAATGAAACAAAAGTTAGACGAGTCAAGACAAGGATGATGCAAATTAGTCAACTAGGTCCTGTTGGTTCAGAACAGGAGCTTAAGTGTTGTCTGTCCTCGGGGCTGGGAGCGCCAAACCTCAAGTGCCGGAGAGATCTACCCGAAGCCCCCCTCCCTCTTGAGGGTGGGGTTGTACATTCTTTCAAGACATATATCGCCTCTTAAAGTTTAACACCCCGTTCCCACCAGCGTGTTTCGAGAAAATTTAAAACAAGTTACTTACAGAAAATGTAGATAGTTCTTGTCCTGGTTCTTAGACGTCAGCCCTTGAATCGTGTCTTCTTTCTTCGTTAAATCTTCCTGACGCTTCTCTCTCTTCTGTTTCCTCCTTCTAGACATAGAAACAAGAAGAACTTTTACTCAATTCTCAATCAAAAACAACTTTCATTTGTCAAAACACGACCTAATACAATGTCAATATGGGGTCATGTGGCGTAGCGGTAGCGTCTTCTGCCTGGAACCAAGAGGTCCCGGGTTCGGACTCCACCATGTCACCGATCTTGTGCCCTTGGGAAAGGCACTTTACACAACTTTCCTCACTTCACTCAGGTGAAAATGAGTATGCCAGAATGATCATTATCATGATTGTGGGCATTAAAAAGAAAACCATGAAAACCAATAATCTGGACACCAAAATGACGATGAAAGATACTTAAACACTGGAACAACATCAAGCGAACATAAATTGCCATCTGCAATTGAAGGTTTCGAAAACACATCTACAAACGGAAATAATAAAAGATGGACTTTTTGCTGGATTTTTACAACTTTCCAGTTTCACGTCCAAAAACATGACCATCCTCAAGACCTACCAACCTACCAAATATCAGGACAATCCATTTAAGTTATCGTGTTTACAGACACACACATACATACACAGACACACACACACAAACGCCTCTGAAAACATTACCTTCTTGGCAAAGCTAATAAAGATGAACTTCTTGATATTGATAAGCTGGCTTTTGACAACCAAACCAGAAACCACAGCTGTATATTCAGATCTGGATCAAGTAGTTGGTTCTTTGAAAAGCCGATTAAAACGCAGGAAATGTAAAAAGGACAGGAAACTGTGGAATGTTCTAATGTCAGCTCCACACGACCATGAAAAAAAGAGGAAGCCATGCCTTTAACAGTCAACAAATCAAATAGCTGTGCCTGATAAATGCAACGGGGCAACAAAAATCACGTCATGGACCTTTTGCAGTGATCCAAAACTTTGCACTTCCACTTTCTCTGTAGATGCCCATATTAGGCAGGGCTGGCAGTGGTCACACGGTACTACTGCCCCCTAGTGGCCGACTGAGCCACTGCAGGGTGTACTAACAACAAACAGTGAATGCAGGTCTGGTGAGCACATGGGTTTTCAGGCTGTACAAACCATCTAGGGAGTCTACAAGCTGTTCTGTACCTCTTAGTGCTGTAAGGGACCTCCCTAAGCTACCTACAATATGTGGGAAAATGTCTTAAAATGTATGCATTGATACACCCTAAGTGTTAGAAGACTAGTACAAGAAAGGTTTGAAGTTTTTCAGAAATTCATCAAAACAGTTTAAGTTTCGGCCATACCAGTACCACTTTAATTTCTTGGCTCTACAGTGTAATGTAGCCAACTGCCGCCGAGAATAATCTTAATAATATGGTCTTGTTTCTTTTCATCCAATGTAAAGAATGGTTCTCACCTAGAGCATTCTCACAGTCTTATCCTTGAATTTTTCCAGAAGGATTCAAGGAATATACAGGTCTACAGCTATTTATACAGGACAGTCAGACTAGTCCTGGCTGGGGTTGGTCTGTTAGCCTCCGTAGCAGGCTTATAGAACTGGGGGTTTGGTGGTCTTCGGCTGTTTTCTGATTAGCCCAGTTCTAAAAACGGGGGTAATTCAACCAGGCCGGCTATGTTGTCTATATACAATCAGAAAATAGCACATAAAAGCTCAGAAAGACCCTGAAGACCCCCAAACCCCCCAGTTTTTGGCATGCCATGGAGGCTATTGGTCTGTTGTGATAGCTGGTTTTCATTCTGGGCCTCCTGGCCTGGAAATGACTTTATTTTCTCAGTTCCAGTACATTTGGAAGTAAAAATCCCTCAAGAGGTGGAGAGGAAAACAGAGGGCTGGGAGAAAACTTGAACTTCCTGAAATGGTTCCCTCCCTAGTCTGAAATGGTTGATCCCTGGCTGCTCCCCTCCCCAGGCTAAAATGGACCCCCCCTTTAACCTTTCTCAATACCTGCACCCCTCCGCAGTATGAAATGGTTGATCCCTGTCTCACTCCCTCCCCAACCTGAAATGGATCCCCCCTGCCCTATCTCACTCCCCCTTACCCTGACAAATTGTTGACATGTGTGAGAACATTTACACTTCTCCCCTGTCAGCTAGGGTAAACTTGAACTAGGGACAGTCCAGTATCTACCACAGAACTTATTAGGGACCATCCAGTAATACTACCAGGTTGCTGATTTCTTCTACCGTTTTAGTCAGAATCCTTGTTAACATTATGTTAAAATCCACCAGGTAGAAATTTTGGAAATTTTCCCATTTCAGTAGGAAAGAAAAATCACAGCATACGAACCTTTGTATTCCTGTTGTTGCCATTTCAATAAAAAACAACCTTTGCCAAGGTATAGGAGTTGGCATGAGTAAGCCTTGCAGGGATATGAAAAGTACTATAGGTTACATGTATACAGATTAGGTTATACGTATACAAATACAACATACAGCATATAAAGTAGACTCCCCTCCCCCCCTCCAAGGAGTTTGGACTCTCCCTGGAATCCAGAAATTCCACATGTCAGAGACAAGATGGAGTGACTTCATCTCCAAGCAGATGTGGAGGGGATGCCACCACACCTACGTTTGTTCTTTTAATCCTTGAATCTAAACAGTACAGCAATTTGTATGCTGACCTAGAACATGAAAACAGAGTCTTAGGGTAAAGTCTGTACCTTGGTTTCAAGACAGTGACTACAGTTAGATTTAACTACTTTTCCAATAGTAAAGGAGATAAATTTGTATGGGTGAATATACAAATGTTGTCAAAATAGCCAAGAGAGTATATTTGCTTGATGATGGAAGTACCACAGAAAGCCACAAGGAGGCCACAAATTTGGCCATACCTTCAATAAACCAAGACTGGGCAGCATACCGAATATCATAACAATCCATCCACAGCTTAACAAGACCAAAAGCCCGCAAATAAATGCTACCGAGCAACAAACAACTGTGCTGTTGCAGTACCAAAACAAGCCCAAAGGGAGCCACAAATCTTACCGTACCTTCACTACACCAAGACCAGACCGCATACCAGATATCACAACAATCCATCCACAGATAAACAGTTAAACCACAAGCCCACAAACAAATGCTACCGAGCAACAAATAACTGTGCCCCTGCAGTACCAAAGCAAGCCCAAAGGGGGCCACAAATCCAACCATACCTTTGCTACACCAAGACTGGACAGCATACCAAATATCATAACAATTCATTCCACAGTTAGTAGAATATTCTTCATTCAATGAGTGACATTTTTATAAAGGTAAAAACAAGTACCTTCAAATTTTCAATGTCTACTGGAGGTACGTGATTTTACCTTTATAAAAAACGTCACTGATTGAATGAAGAATATTCTACTAACTGTGATGTACATGACTTCAATGAAATCCATCCACAGCTTCTGGAGTTACACGGTAACCAACAACCAACAAACAAACGCCACCAAGCAACAAACAAAAGTTACTCTACCATGAAGAAAAGGACCTGATTGGTTGAGATAAGAACTCACTGGGCTGTGACCTTCCATCCTAATGATATGGTAATGACCCTGACCCCTGACCTCTGTATTCTTACCTTCAGCAGGGGGTAAGCAACCCTCCAGGTTCTACATTTCTTTCTACTTCCCTCAAAAAGTGAGACAAAATAAAGGTGAGACTAAATCATACATTACAAACATCACAATAATGTAACTCATATAATCATAATTCAGTCACTGAAGAAAGTAGTGGATGCTACCTGAAACATCTGATAGCTTACAAAATCATCCAGTTGCTTGAGTAACTGCTTTTGGTACCCATTCAGAAATTGAACAGCAGGATCGGATGAAAGGATGCCTTTAAATGTTTAAAAACCAATGTTTATTCCCTAAAAACCAATATGAGTAATAAAACCACTCTCCAGTCCAAAAGCCTATCAGACATGCTCTACTTCCTTTATAGGCCAGACCTGTCCCAGTGTCATCATTAAAGTTTAAATGTTGTGAAGCAGAGTGTTACACATCGATTTTCACATCTATAGTGTTCCTCTGAAATTAAACAGAAGGACCATACATAAAACAGAGGCACCAAAAGAAAAATGTACTACAGTAGACATCGGTAGTGTGGGTTACCATCACATTTCTTACACAAGCACCCCACCCCAAAACCCTAACTGTGATGATACACAACTAACTGTTGGTGCTAAAAGAATGCTTCAAACAGGAACAAGGTTAGTGTCAGGCTAATATATAACGTCAGGAATACCATATACCTTGCACCTACCTTGTAAGTTATAGTCAATGTTAGCAGATCGACTTAAAGCTGTGAAATCACCCTTCACAGGTTTTTGGGTGTGTCAGAGTCAGACAGTTTTATCCCTTTCTAGAAAAGGTGGAGATATGCCTGTTCAGACTAACAGTTAACGAAAGTCTTTTTCTTCCTGGTTGTTACAGTTTTCCCATCTATCATTGCAGTGGTTTAATTAAAAGTTCTAAATTCAATGTTTAAATTTTAACCCAGCCTTTTGTGTTGACTTCATGGCTCATTTTGTAGCATTTAAGCCTATAATAGGATGCCTAGACCTGTTTTTATTTTTATTTTTTTTCGCCCTGTCACTTCATATTTTTTCTGAAAAAATCCGAGAACCAACAAATTGAATTGGTGTGGCCTTAGATGCCAAGAATATCCTGTATACTATTGTACATTTAATATGTACAAAAATACCTACAACATTTGGGTACACACACAGACAAAAATTGGGTGCACAGCTCCAATTTTGGGTGCACCAAGGTGCACATGCACCCAGTATTTCCAGCCCTGCCCCTCCCCCATATGTTCTCCATATCAGCAATGATGGACTGTACACTCTCCCTGTCTGCTATAGAACAGTTTTAATCTGGCTGATGGTTGCCCATTGATTTTTCCATGATGTATACTGATCATACTCACCACGGCGGTTAGGACACATCGATTCACAAGCAGACAGTTGTGAGAGGAAACAGGCGCACATTTTTACTGCCGGATAAAATTTCTAAAAAAAGTCTAAACCTTCTAGGCAGTGAAGGCCACACAAATTTAAC